TCTTATTTAAAATGTACTTGTTTATTATATTGGTTCCATGCTGCAATTCAAAACAACCCTTAAACAGGTATTTCATCTCCTTGAAATGATTCTGATGTAATAGTTTAGAGGTAGTTTTTTTTCCAAGCATTTACAGGTAAAAGGACCTCGATGACCTTAAACCTTTTTTTACTATTCTGTGTAAATTCCTTCTCTGTTTTGTATTCCTAACACTGTCCTATAGTTGACTGCCTATATAAAGCTACTTATGCCGCATGCCCCGCTTCACCACACCGGCGACAGGCTGCGCGTGGATTGGTGATGGGGGTCGTGATCATGTGATGGGCTACGTCGGGATTCGCCGTACTGTTTGGATGAGCTGGTGGTCTCCCTGGTGTGTCTGTCGATTCCCAATGGGGACTCAGAAATGGCGTCTGGTGCGAGTCGCAATTCCTCTGCTCTGAAGCCGGCCTTGCGTATCTTGGAGTGTTCCGCGGGGGTGCGAAAGTGGTCGGGATGGTCCGCTCTTGGATGCTCTCGAACTCGGTGGCCAACATTGTGAGCTGTGCTAAGCTTTGTAGTTCGTGTCGCCGCACATACATCTGGTATGCTGGCAGGGCGTTATCGTAGATCCTGTTTAGTTCCTTGGCTGCGTCGTACCTGGCGTGGTGCATGAGTAGACGTATCTCGATGAGGTAATCCTTGAACAATTCTCCTCTCGCTTGCTTGCGAGCTCGGATCTGGTCTTCCAATTGTTCAAAATACCGTGGCGGCAAGAAGAAAGTCAAGAATTCTTGGCGGAAATATGCCCATGAGCTGCCTTGTAGTTGACTGGTGCGGTACCAGCGACTGGCCCGATCGGTGAGAAGCTCTGTCATGGCCCGAGGTAGCTGATTTGTGTCCACCCCATATGAGAGAGCACGTTCCTCGAGTAGTTCCAGAAACGCGAGTGGATCGTCCTGTCCGTCGAACCTGATCCCCCATTTCCGAATCTGTTCCGCGATGTGGGCGGTGGAAGAGTCCATGGCTGGCACGATCCTCTGGGTGGGCGAGCGGCTGGTCTGCGTAACTGGAGGTCTGGGCAGATCGGCTGGCGTTACGATGCGTGGTGGGCAGGGTGTGCTGTATTCGGCCGCTGTGGGGACTTGTAACCCGGCTTTTGGGTCGGTTTTCCGCTGGTCAGACGGCCCAGGAGTGGTGGGCATGGGCGACTTGGAGCGTCCTGCTGGTCTGGCGTATTGCCGTTCGAGGTCGGCCAGTCGAACCCAGGCATCCTGCGAGAGTGTTCCGGCGACTAGTGCAGCGAATCTCTTTCTTCGTTCCTCGACTGTTCCGTCGTTTCCGAATCCGAATTCCTCGGCCAGGACTTCCAGCTCATCCCGCCGGAGTTTGTAGATCCAGCCGGTGGTGACTCGTGGATTGGTATGGAGTCCCTCCGGGTAAAATTCGTCGGGTTGACCGGCTCCGTGGGCTTCCATGGTGTGTTTCGGCGGTTAGTAGCACTGACTTACGTGTTGTTTGTGGTATTTCTGCTTGTAGCACTTTTGCTCGCGACTGGATTTTGCGTTTTGGGCTTGACGGTTATTGATCCTTGCTAGTCTCGTCTCTTTCAGTGCCCGTGGGTCTTTACTCCACAAAGCTCCGTATTAAGGTGTTAGTCTCCTTAAAGTCACCAAAAAGTCCCTGCTCGGGCGCCACTTGTGAGGGTCCTATTTCAGGCTGAGGTATGCATCAGTCTGTCCAGGGTCCACTACAAGACAATTTGTAGATCGCAGGTGACTTTTAGGTTCGGAGCGGCCGAAAGAGAGGTAGGACGCAGGAGGAGCGTTTTGTTGCTGACAAAAAAATACTTCAAGAAATTCGTCGTTTTGGTTTTGTTGGTGTTTATTATTTTATTACTTAATTCTTTGTGGGTTTGTGTACGATGGATTACTTGCGGATCTTGTTACCTTGCCTTTGAGCCGTTGGACTGGGGGTTGCAGTGTCTTGTGTTTGGGCTGAGGGACTGCCTAGTGCAGTGTCTTGGGTGTGTGACTGAGGGACTGCGTAGTACAGTGTCTTGGGTGTGTGACTGAGGGACTGCCTTGTGCAGTGTCTTGGGTGTGTGACTGAGGGACTGCGTAGTACAGTGTCTTGGGTGTGTGACTGAGGGACTGCCTTGTGCAGTGTCTTGGGTGTGTGACTGAGGGACTGCGTAGTACAGTGTCTTGGGTGTGTGACTGAGGGACTGCCTTGTGCAGTGTCTTGTGTTTGGGCTGATGGACTATATATTAGTCCAGGAGTAATTGTTTAAAATGCCTCAAAGGTAAAATCAAATTTCATATGTGTTAGTGTTCATATTCACCTAGCAAAGAGGCAGAGGGTTACTAATCCGGCTCAAATGACCATGTTAGTGTTCATATTCACCTAGCAAAGAGGCAGAGGGTTACTAATCCGGCTCAAATGACCGAATTCTATAATTTCCGTCAACCAAACCTTGCACCACGTATGCACAGGCTTTATGTTTATTTTTGGTCGTCGTTGGGTTATTTCTTATAAACCAACAAGAATTTATAGTGCACCGACAACTTCTTTTTATTCAATTTTTATTTTTTACAGCTTCGTCAATCTTTATACACCACAATTTTCAGTCGACATCTAGATAATGACTGCCAACTCATCTTAAATCAAAAATATACATAATGTGTTGACTTCGGTCACACTTACAAAATATCCGATATTCGTTGTACGGTACAAGAAGGGTTAAATTCAAAATTATATATTTCTTTTCGCAACATTCTCCTCCCAAGTATTGCAGCAACTAATTATTCAATTATGAATAGCAGCAATACTTAACAATGTCGGGTTACACATTCGTCTTAACATCTAACTTGATTAACTTTACTATAGGTCGTTTATAAATTTTATCTTTTATCTTAACATCTACAATACGAACGCATCCATCCGTAGCTTGATATGTCTTTACAATAATGCCCTTAGGCCAAATATTTCTAGGTAAATCAGAATCTGTTATCAAAACAACGTCACCTTCTTTTAACATACTTTGTTCTTTTGTCCATTTACGACTGTATAAAAGATATTGTCTATATTCTTTTCCTCCATTTTAACCAAAACATATCGGCCAGTCTTTGAGACGCCTTCCACATATTTAACACCTTCAAATCTCCATCAGTGGCTGTTGAATAAAATGAATCCCTAAAATCGGGTCCAATTAAAATGTCATTTGGAGTCAATGGTACCGAGTCCATGGAGTCGGATGGTACATACAACAGTGGTCGGCTATTAATCATATGCTCAATTTCACAAAACAATGTTTTCAATGTGTATTCTTTAGGAAATCTTTCTTTCAGTAGAAAGCATAAATACTTTTTTACAGCTTGTACAAGTCTTTCCCAGGCTCCTCCCATATGCGGACTCAAGGGTGGATTAAAAAACCATGAACAATTTTTGGTGGTCAGAAACTGCAACAATTCATCTTTGGGCCAGTCAGTTATAACTTCTTGCATTTCTTTGCTTGCTCTTTTAAAATTTGTTCCATTATCCGAATACATTTCAATTGGAAAACCACGTCGACAACCAAACTGACGAAATAAATGCATAAATGCGTTGCATGAAAGGTCTTCGGCTACCTCAAGATATACTGCGCGAGAGGCCATACATGTAAATATTACACCACATCGCTTGACATGACTCCTGTTTACTGTTATTTCTATCGGACCAAAATAATCTACGCACACTTTTAAAAATGCTCTCTCCGTTGGTTCTATCCTACATTTTGGAAGTTGCCCTATTATAGCTTTGTGTGGCTGTCCTCTTTTGTTTTTGCAATACTGGCAATTACGTATAATTTTTTTTAGTGTATTTCGACACTTTGTGATCCAAAATTTATGTCTAAGATTTGATAGAACTGTCTCTACCCCAATATGACAATTTTTTTGATGATAATGGTATACTAAAAGATTTGTGATCGGGTGGTCTTTGCTTAGAACAATGGGATTTTTCGAGTTGAAGTCATAGTCGCTGTCATTAAGATTGTCCAGTCTACCTTTGAGTCTAATTAAGCCGTCATCTGACATTTTTAAGAGTAGTGATTTTAAACTACTTGAATTATCAACAGATTCACCTTTGGTCAATTTTTCAACTTCACGTTGATAACTATCAAGTTGCATTTTTTTATATATTAAAATTTCTGCCCTATCTATTTCCTTGGCTGTCAGTTCCTTACAATTTTGTCTCTTGAGCTTTAAATGGTCTACATAACGTAGTGTCCAAGCTGTGGTTCTTAAGACCGCAACCAGTTCGAGAATCGAAGAACGTCTGGTAAGTCAATATCATTTCTCAGAAGCGAAGTGACATTAACATACCCTTTGTCAATTGGATCGATATCCTGTGACCCAACTGAAATCTTTCCTACTGGCCAGTGATCACTATTATTATGCAAAAACTGTGGACCTGTCAACCACAAATTGTTGTTTGTAAAATCTATTTTAGTGATTTTGGTTGCCTCATCGGCTGGGTTTAATTTCGATGGAACATACTTCCAATCTCCTACATTTGATATCTCCTGTATTTCTCCTAAGCGTTGGGAAACAAAGGTTTTGAAGCGTTTGCTGCTCGACTTGAGCCAATACAAAACAATTTCCGAGTCTGTCCATAAATGCGTTCTGCCTATTTTTAAATTCAAAGTTTCTTTAATCATTTTATTCATTCTTGCTCCCAATAAAGCTCCTTGTAATTCCAACCGCGGAATTGACATTGGTTTGAGTGGTGCTACACGTGACTTTGCAGCTATTAAACTACATTCAATTTTGTCGTCAATTTGGAATCGTACGTATGCGCATGATGCATAAGCATATTTGGAAGCATCGCAAAATATATGCAATTGTACTTCACAGTCATTTATTGGAAGTTTTGTCATAAGTCTTGGTACACTGAAGTTACTAATATAATAAAGTTACTAATATCAAACGAATTACTTAGCTCTTTCCACAAATCAAAATGTTCATCTATGATAGGGTCGTCCCAGTTGATGCCACTATCCCAGATTGCCTGTAACAGTATTTTATTCGATATGAGAAAATGGGAAAGAAATCCGAGAAGATCAAAAATTGACATCGTAATCTTAAGGACTTCACGTTTCGTCGGTCGCCTTTCCAATTTCAAAATTTCACTAAGAGATTTTGTAAAGTTTAAGTTATAAGCAAGACTGTCTTTTTCATAATCCCACATCAGGCCTAAAACACGCTCTTCTGTTAAATTTTTAATCTTTTTGGGAGATATCGATTTTTTGTGGCATTTTGTCGGGCTTATATGGTCTAAAACCTCTGAAGAGTTTGAAATCCAGTTGCACATTTCAAACCCTCCTTGCTGATGTACATATGTAAGATCTTTAATCAGTTGTATGGCACTGATAATGTCATCTGCTCCTCCCAAGTAGTCGTCCATGTAATGTTTTAGGCTTTAGGGTATTCTTTCTTAAAGTCACTTGAATTACGATTCCTAACTTGTTGTGCAATACTTAGACTGCATTTAGCTTCAAAAAATACAACTTGTATTTCATAGACGTCTGGTATACCTTGTCGCCTATTTTCACGCCACAAAATTCTCTGGGCTGGTCGATCTATCTGCTGAAATTTTATTTGTAGAAACATTTCTTTTATGTCACCTACAAAAACAATTTTATGTTCACGGAAATTCATGAGAACAGATGACAATTGATTGTAAAGGTCAGGTCCTGGTAGCAAAAAATCATTGAGGCAATACCCATGACTCCTAGATGCAGCGTCAAACACAATTTTCAACTTATCTGGCTTATTTACATTTTGTACGCCAAAATGGGGAAGATAATAAGTCACAGGTGACTGAACATCTAGTTCAGACAAGTCCAACTTTTTTATATATCCTTTTAAAATATGTGATTTAATTGTTTCTTCATATTTATTTCCATATATAGGGTTTTTGTCAATTTTCCTTTCACAGGCCATTAGTCTAGAATACGCATTGTTGTAACTCTCTGGAAGTCGTATATCTTCTTGTTTCCAAAACAAACCGCATTCGAATCCTTCTTCTACGCGCTTTAGAGATTTGTCTACAATTTCTAAGCACCTTTTGTCGTCAAGTGACAAGGGATAGTCGTTCTGAACAGTTAATTCGCTCTCGATTGACCAGTAAGATTTGACGAGATTATGTAAAACATCCAAATCATCACATTCCTGGTCTTTTAAAACTTGGTTGCTGATATGAAAAGAATAATTGGTTTCAATTCTCTGTCTGTCTGGTGCTACTACTCCATGAATAACCCAGCCCAGCAAGGTTTTGCTCGCGACTGGTCCATTAAATGCTTCGTAATGTAGTTTGCGTGAAACTATAAGAGACCAGTTGTCCTGTCCTATCAACATTTTTGGATGTGCCTTTTCGTATGAACAGTCAATGAAGTTTTTCAAAAATTTAAAATTGTCGGTCATGTCGTCTATTTTCAGAGTTTGTAAAGGTAAGTTTAGATTCGAGACTGTTTTAATTTTTCTCATAGTGAAAGTTTTAGCACCTTGACTTTTACCCTTGATCTGTACACTGACCATTTTTGAATCTTCCTGTTCGTAGACTTCACTATTGGTCCATTGCATCTTTAATGGTCTGATTGGGCCATCCAGTCCTAAGTCATTGGCTACTTGTTCGTCTAACAAGGATATAGTCGATGCTTCGTCAAGAAGTGCATACGTGTCAATTGTCTTTTTGGGTCCGATCAAACAAATAGGTACTACTTTTAACAAAACTTTGGTCTGCCCTTCATAAATATTACAATTGCTTTCTATTTTTGAGTTCCACTGATCATTATAGTTTGGCTTATCTGGTTGATTTTCTTGACGGTTAGCTTTATCTTTGTGTAACAAATTGTTATGATTATAACTGCAATTATTTATTTTGCATTGCTTTTTGCGTCTACAATCTTTCATCAAGTGGTTTTTACCCAGACAAGATATACACAAGCTATTTTGAGACACATGCTCCCATCGTTTGTCAATATGTAAGTCTTTAAATTTTCCACATGTCGTAACATAATGATCAGTCGATTTACAATAATTACAGAATCCTTTTCTATATTCTTTGGTTGCATTATTTGGATGATTTGTAACTGTTAAAGTACTATCTTTGGACTTATGCTGCCCCAGGCCTATCGTGGTTGCAGCCCTAATGGTTTCACTTAGCCATGCTTGAAAAACTATTATTTTTGGCTCAGCTGATCTAGATTTTTGAAAGTGTTTCATAAATGCAATTCGCTGTGACATAGGTAATTTTTCCAATATTTCGTCAAGTAACAACGGGTTACGAATATGATCTAAATCTTCGATGGACAACAATGTATGAATTAGATTTGTAATTATATCATAAAATGAGATTAGTCGTTCATATTTATCGTCTTTTATATATGGAAAATTCTTAATTTTATCAATCAGTTGTCTTATAATATGACTCGAGTCGCCAAATCTCTCTTTTAAGATTTCTATTATCGTCAACACATTATCTGGTAACAACAAAAGAGATTGTACACATTCTTTGGCACGACCTGCTAATGCTTTTCTTAGACGACTTATGTTTTCATAGTTGCTAAATTTACATGCGTTTGTACTATTTTCAAATTCGGAATAAAATATGGGCCATTCTAATGGATCCCCTGCAAATGTCGGTAGGTCTTGTTTTATTGTCTGCCTTGCCATGAATGTTTCCACATCCTTATTATTTTCTGACTTATTAAGACTTTCATTTTCAAATTTAAGCTTACGTGTTGTGCTAACCCACTCACTTGTACGGATCTCAGCGTATTTGCCATCATTGTCGTCGCCGTGGTCGATGTCATCTTCTTTTTCTTCTTCTTGTAGCTGCATCTCAAGCAGCTCTTGTTCCAGGTCCAGATGTTTTTGTTGAAGTGCCAGCTGTTGGCGCTGCTGCTCCTGTGTCGCAATTTGCTGGGCAAGCTGCTGCTGTTTTGTATTCAAATCCAGTTGTTTCATCAAATTTTGCACCTTAGACGATGTGCGTGAGTTTTGGCTACTTTTGGTTGTACGTGGTGATCGGCCTCCTTCGGACTGCTTGTCTGCAGCCTTTTTGATTACGTTGGATTCCATCGGTGTTGATGCCGCTACCTTTGACCTTGTCCTCGGCTTGATAGTAGCATCCATTTCCACTTGCGGTGTCTTGTCGGGATGAGGAGTGTGGTTTATCTTCTTTTTTTGTCCCATTATCGCTGTCTACGATCTTTTGTTCGTCGATTTGAACAGATTTGTCGATTTCAGTTGTCGTCACAATTTTTCTTTTTTCCGCCAGTTTTTTTCTGTACGTATTTCGGTGTTTGTTTTTATGTATGTATGTATTCCCATTTCTGTCTCCTGTCGGGAGCATCACCAAAAAACACGCAGTAGTTGTCTCTTTCTGTTGCACGTCTGTCTACATACGGTACACATACACTAGTCGTCGTCAAAGTGTATGTGCGGATGTGTATGTCTTGGATCAGGCTTGGAATACATACAGATCTATTTCACCATCTGATGAAATTGCGCGTCTGTTTTACGCAATCCATATGCCGTTCCGTGGGCTTCGAAGGACCATGTTAGTGTTCATATTCACCTAGCAAAGAGGCAGAGGGTTACTAATCCGGCTCAAATGACCATGTTAGTGTTCATATTCACCTAGCAAAGAGGCAGAGGGTTACTAATCCGGCTCAAATGACCATGTTAGTGTTCATATTCACCTAGCAAAGAGGCAGAGGGTTACTAATCCGGCTCAAATGACCGAATTCTATAATTTCCGTCAACCAAACCTTGCACCACGTATGCACAGGCTTTATGTTTATTTTTGGTCGTCGTTGGGTTATTTCTTATAAACCAACAAGAATTTATAGTGCACCGACAACTTCTTTTTATTCAATTTTTATTTTTTACAGCTTCGTCAATCTTTATACACCACAATTTTCAGTCGACATCTAGATAATGACTGCCAACTCATCTTAAATCAAAAATATACATAATGTGTTGACTTCGGTCACACTTACAAAATATCCGATATTCGTTGTACGGTACAAGAAGGGTTAAATTCAAAATTATATATTTCTTTTCGCAACAATATGTGTATTGCTTTATGCAAATCTGAACATAACTCAGAAGTAAGTTCAAAAAATATTACCTTCCGTGGCTAAATATTTTTATTTTTTATATCATTTCAGGAGCATTGGTGCTTATTAACCTGATCGAGTCAGTTAAGGAAGGCCCTACAGATAATTAAAAATAATTAAATCAATGAAAAATCTAGAAAATCTGTGTAAAATATATATATTTACTTTTATTTGAATGAAGTGTTTAAAGATATTTTTGGGTGGCTTTCACTTATGAAATTATCCGTGAAATTCCGTTAAATTTAATGAGAAGTCTCACAGGTGATTTCATATAGGACATTTCAAAAGAGTCACGAGTGATTTCATATGGGATATTTCGAATGAGTTACGAGTAATTTCATTAAGGGCATTTTCGGAAGTTTCCCGAGTGAAATCACTCGTGGCTTACACGTATAAGCCACCGGTGAAATCACTAGAAAATTCAGTGACAATTTCATATGAAGTTTCACGAGTGACAAAAGCGGACATGTCCATACAAATTTCATCTGGAGTTTCACCAGTGATTCACCAGTGGCAGAGAACATGCCATGAGTGATTCACCGAATGAATCACGAGTGAAAAGTGACTTTTGGAACTGCAGGGATTAGAATAGTTGTTAATGTGTGTTTGTGTGTGTGGGATTTGGTATGCATACGGTACATAAACCGTTTACAAATTTGTCGTCGCAACTACGTTTCCTACGTCGAGCAAATGAGGGTCTAAAGACACGTCGACAGCCTCTGTTGATTGCAGTTGTAGAGAATGAGTGAACAGGCAGTGATGGTACTGTTTCTGATACTGATTTTATTCAACAAAGTTAAATTCTATTTATAGGTAACAAAAGGTACAGAAAGTGCTGAATCTAGTAAGAATATGGTAAAAGGGAATTGGAATTAATATTGAATTGATTTGGATTTAATATGATATTGTGTTATTGGGCAATTGTGATAGTCAGCAATTGAACCAGTGTTTTTGCCCTCTGAAGAGCGATCGCATCGTTGGCAGAAATTGCTGCAGAAGCGGTTATTGTTGACTCAGCTACAATGCTTTCTCATTTACTATTATGTCTCCCGTTACATGGGTCGACCTGACTTATTCGATAAGTGTAATATTAATTAATGCATAAATATGCGACTGAACATTCTCCCGGCCTGGTGTTCAACCATCGCCCAAGTCGACTGAAAGGCGGCGAGGAATGGGGATCGGGGGTGATGATCCGCGTGGCTCTGCTTGGTTGATTGTTGACGGCCTTGGGTTCCATGATTGATACTTCTTCCGGAGAATGAACGCAATAATCAATAGCATTGATATTGCTAGGGCAGCATAAGTAGCGATTTGATGATGCTGCACTGCACCCACTAATTGCAGTCGTAAATCTTCCAATTCTTGAAGATAGTCTGATGTCTGGTTCTCCAATTGTACAGTTGCTGGCGAAGGGGGTGTCGTTGGTAAGCGTATGTCCCCAAATCGAGTGTAGGTTGATTTGACTTCACTGATTGTTGTGCTGAAGGTACTGATGCTTATTTCTGTATTGCGAGCAGTGCATCCAGATGACAATGAGAGCAAGCCAGTTCCTTCCAGTTTTATGGTTGACGGAGACCCGTTGCAAACTGCCTGAAGTCTCATTGTAGAGTGTGTTGCAAAAATCCATTTATTTGCTTGCTGAGTTTTGGACCACACCATGTCCGCCTTCGTGTCGGTCACTTCACATAAAGGTGCTGTTTTATTGTTAAACAACTGAAACTCACAGCGATTGTCGACATTGAAGACTGTTTGATGATCAAAGCAGATGTATTCTGCGTTGCGTAATTTAAAGCAGCGTCGAAATTCTTCTGGAGTAAATCCTCTCGGTGAGTGTTTACAGTGATTATGGTCGTTTTGAGATTGAACAAGCTCCAACTTGTTGAGTCCCAGACAGGAATCGGCATGATACTGAAAACTTTGAGCTGAAATGTTGAAACTAACGGTAGTGTCACCTTGAAAATGACGTGTGTGGTAGTCAGCCCTAGGTATGACTGAATTAGATGATCGCCATGATATGTTCCTCTTTCTCGGCTGATGGTTGCCACTTGTTGTTTCAATACCTTTAGGCGGTTGTCCATGGCTGACTTATCCTTCCTGATCACGTTCATTGTGGAGTCGACAATTGACGTTTGATTTCGTTGGTTTGTACCTTTTCGATTACTTTGGCCATTTTCTCAGCATATGTAGAGTCAAGTACACCGAACAGCTGGTGTGCTACGTTTCCTACTATATCCAGCGGTGATCTGCGTTGTCGAGAGGCCTTCATTAGCATATTTCCTGTTTGTAGTTCTTTGTACAAATGTTGAAAGTGTTGAAATATGGAGTTGCACGCTGGAACATTTTTTAGTTCAGGGCACATGTGTCTTAGTTCGGACATTCCGGCTGACATGACTTGCATATCCTTCCAATATGGATCCAAGTCGTAGTATACAATCATGGTCCATTCGGAAGTGGTCATTCTTGAGGTTCCAAGTTTCTCATAGAATATTCCAGGCTTGTTTGCAAATTGCGTCACATTTATTGATTGTGAAAATGCTAATGGCAGCATGAGAAGTAACACTACCAATGTGGATGTTAGTATAGGTAATGATAACCTTTTTCGCTGTGTTGGTGGCTCCTCTATTTCCGCAATGTCTTGAATAGCATTTTTGGAGCGTTTTGTTGCTACCTCCTCTGAGAATAATGGGGCGAGACGACTGATGGGCGTTTGTATACGCCGGACGATGTTTTGACATCAACCACTCGTACATGGTTGTCTTGCCCAGGATAAGTTTTGATGATGCGACCCATTGGCCACTTCATTACTGGAAGGTTGTCTTCCTTCACCAAAACTAATAATCCTTCGGTCACGTTTGGAGCGATGGTTTTCCATTTATGCCGAGTTTGTAGTTCGTGGAGGTATTCCGTAGACCATTGTTTCCAAAATGCATGTTTTAAGCGTGAAACCAATTCCCAGCGTTTAACCAGAGTTTTCTCTTGACGATCAGTGTTGACGTCAGGTGCTGCGGTCAAAGGTTCACCGATCAGGAAATGCCCTGGAGTAAGTGCATTTGTCTCTGTTGGATCATTTGACATTGGAGTTATGGGTCGGGAGTTGAGAATTGTTTCAATTTCGATTATGACTGTGTTCAGCTCCTCGAACGTCAAGGATGCTGCTTCTGTGGTTGTAATTAGCTGATTTTACCGATGTGGCCCGAGGAGGAATGAATTAAAAATCCCCTTTTTATACCCGTACTCAAAAAAGAGTTAAGGGGTATATTAGATTTGTGGTAAAAGTGGATGTGTGCAACGCAGAAAAGGAAACGTTTCCGACCCCATAAAGTATATATATTCTTGATCAGCATCAATAGCCGAGTCTATATAGCCATGTCCGTCTGTCCGTCTGTCCGTCTTGATGAGCGCCTGGATCTCAGAGACTATAAGAGCTAGAGAAACCAAATTTGGTTTCCAGACTCATGTGATATCACACTGCTACAAGTGTATTTCAAAATTTCGACCCCGCCCCCTTCCGCCCACACAAAGAACGAAAATCTGTGGCAGGCACATTTTTAAAGATACGATAAAACTAAAAACGCAGTATCGTAGAGAATGCCCATATCTACCAGATTGCCGAATCTGAATTAGATAGGATCATAATTATAGCCAGAATGAAGAAATTAATTTTCAGTTGCTTCCCCTCCCCCTCCCGACAACGACAACGCAACTCATTTTCCTTCTCGCTCGCACACTCTGCCTCGTTCAGTGCGCGAGCAACCCCTAGCGGAGGAGATGTAGAATATGAATGGAACATGTACAATCTACATGTTAGATGTAGAATAGACATTGTATATGTAGATGTAGATAGCAGATGTAGCAAAAAAATGTAAAATGTAAAATTTTTTTTTTTCTAAAATTCTAAAAAATCATAAGCTCAAAAATGTATATACTGACTGAGTACGGGTATAAGTAGAGTCGCGTCCCCAGAAGCGACTCACACGTTCCTTCTCGTTTTTATTGCAATGATTTGTGATCAGAGCATGTGCCTTTTCGATAAATATTGCTTCTTTCAATTCCTTTAGCTTGTTATTTGCGCCGACGAAATTTGTTGCGTTGTCGAAGATTGCCCATGATCTGGTGCATCAGCTTTGATCTGGCTCTGGTGCACTTAATACAGCTATGTATGATGCTTCTAGCCATCGTCTTGTCGTTGATAATCCAATATTGTTGTCTTGCGATTGCCCTTAATGCATAAGCATTTTGACTATTGGGTCGTTGTACGGTAGCAGGATTAGATGTTTTGCGTCGAACGGAATTTGAGCTTCTTCGAGTCTTCCGCCAACTCGGATGAGCTCATCATCTCCTAGTAAGGGAGATAACGAAATGATCGAACTCTTTTTATCCACTATTTTCTAGCTTTTTTAACTGTTTTAAATCCGCTGTGAACTCAACCTGTTGAATCGTTCGTAGGATCATAGTGAGAGCACGCCTTAGATCTCCTGCTTAGCATTTCTCTCGAGATTGCTGGGCTCAATGATGGGTGGTTTTGTCCATTTATCTCCTGATCCGTGCAAGAATAATGGTCCGTATAGCCATAGACTATGAGGACATCTGCTGCGTTGTTGGCTGATGAAACATGACGCCATTGTAATTGATTAGTCAATGCCTGGAATTTGGCGATTCGATTTGCCACGAAGCTGTGGTATGTGGACGCCGATAAGTTAATCCAATCCAACGTCCTCTTTAGGGATTCCTTGCAAGAGCTGGTCGTTGTTGGAGCACCATTTGCGAAGTTTAAGGCCGAACGGTAGCAATATTTTATTAAGTTCTTGTTGAACTTCCTGAATGGTATCCGCGCCAGTGAGACAGTCGTGCACATAGAAATGGTTCTTCAATGCAGCAGATCCACTAGGTAATCTGTTTTGGATGCGAGTTGCCAAATGATCCAGACATTTCGTTGCCAGGAATGGAGCAGATGTGATCCCATATGTAACTGTTTTTAAGCGATAGTACCTGATATCTTCAGATGGATTGTTTCTCCAGACTATCATCTGATGAAATTGATCCTCGGGATTTATCCACACTTGTCGGTACATTTTCTCGATGTCCGCTGTGAATACGTACTTATGTATACGAAAACTTAGTAGAATGGACATAATTTCGTTTAGAGATTTTCCGCTTGTTGATTTGCATGATGCATCAAAAACAACCCGTAACTTTGTGCTGGTGCTCTCAGGTTTGAATACACAGTGGTGTGGTATGAAATAGTGTCTCTCCGGCACTTGTGTTGCTGGGACCATCTTTATGTGTTCATTCTTTATATTCATTCATGAATTCCACATAGCCTTTCAAGGTGTCTGGTGAAATCCGTCGCTCTAATGCCAGGAATCTTTTCGTTGCAGTTTCCAAAGACCCCCCCAGGGCTGAAGAGTGTTCGGAAAATGGGAGTTTTACTATCAACCTGACATCCGATGCTGTTTGTAAGTTCTCTATAAAGTCAGCTTCTAAGTTGTCCAAAGTCCAGAATTTTCCCATTAGCTCGTTGAGTCCAATTGCACAAATGGATGAGGAGTTGCGTGCAGACCTGATTTTTCCTGCCACAATCCATCCCAATTTTGTATTTTGCAGCAACGGGCCTCCTGAATTTAGCTGTTTTTGATCTGGGAGTAGTAGCGAATTGTTAGCTTCACAGCAACAGCAACAACAGGAATAGCCCAAATATATATGTATATATATGTTTAGATTGCTGATGCAATAATTATGATTATTATTATTTAATTATTATTTAATTATTTTTGCACAATACATATATTTCGTACTCTTGTATGTGTTGCTGTGACATACAAAACAGTCAGGGATCAAATAGTTAGAGCGAGACAACCATTGCGTTACAGTAATGCATATGTATTGGAGATCAACCGGCCTTCTGCTGGTTTCTCGGTTCAGCTCACTCTTGAAAACATAATTGGCGTGGCAAGTCGAGTCGAAAAGAATTAAAGGAATAAAGGAATATTTAAATACAAATTTGGCGTGCTTCTTTACTTCGGAGACTAGACTGTAAAATCCAATAGGTTATGGGCCCAGTCACATCGGAGTAAAAGAAAAACATTTAAAAACAAAGAATTAAGATTTGTATTAAAAGAAAAAAAATTACGTGCCATTGTGAAATAAAACGAGGACCGGCCGCTGTATCTGTGAGTGTGTGCGTGCGCGTCTCTGTGCTTTGGCTGTGTGTACGTGAAGAAGGAGAATGGATAAAGAAAAGAAAAAAGAAACATCAAACCGTTTGACGGCGAGAAATATTCCATCTGGAAATTTCGAGTAAAAGCGCTGTTGGCCGAACACAATGTTTTAAAAGTAATAGAAGATAATGATAAAACAGTGGGTGACAATGAACAGTGGATGAAAGCTGAACTAACAGCGAAAAGCTTGATAATAGAATTTTTGTCAGACTCGTTTCTGCATTTTCGCAACTTCCGACAATACAGCAAAAGAAATTCTAACAAATTTGGACGCCATATACGAGAGAAAAAGTTTGGCATCTCAGCTTTCAATCCGAAAGCAATTATTGTCATTAAAACTGAAACCCGGTTTCAATCTCATAAGTCATTTCAACGTATTTGATGACCTGGTTACAGAACTAATAGCTTCTGGTTCTAAAATTGAGGAGGTGGATAAGATAGCTCATTTGTTGATGACACTCCCTTCGACTTATGATGGTATTGTGACTGCTGTAGAGACTTTGTCTGAGTCCACATTGACATTAGGTTTCGTGAAAAATCGGCTTTTGGACCACGAGATTAAGTTGAGGAATGCTAGCAAAGACACGAGCTCGAAAGTTTTACAGGCGGTAGGAAACAACCAGCAAAGTGATAGAAAAATATTTAAAAATATTAAAAACAAAAATAAAAAGTTTCAAAGGAAAAATAGATAAAAAGAATATGAAGTGTTACCACTGTAATAAGATGGGTCATTTTAAAAGGGATTGCTATGCTTTAAAGAACCTTCAAGAAAATCTGCCAAAACAAGCACAGACAGCTGCCGCAGCTCAGCAGAATGGCGCCTTCGCCTTCATGTTACAAAGATCCAAACACATGCAAAGAAAAGATGGCGTGTTTTTTGTTTTGGATTCTGGTGCGTCCGACCATATGGTCAATGATAAGAGTCTTTTTGAAAGATTTGATGTTTTGGAGCAACCGATTGAAATCACAGTCGCCAAGTGTGATGAGTACATATACGCCACAGCAATGGGTGTGGTTCAAGTTAGTAATAATTGGCAACAAAATATTACGTTGAAAAATGTACTGTACTGTGAGCAGATTCCGCAAAACTTGCTATCTGTCAAAAAGATGCAAGAGGCTGGAATGACGATCGAGTTCTCAAAAGATGGTGTAAAAGTAACCAAACATGGTCAAATCGTTTTTAAGGGTAAGTGCTCATCTACCATACCGATTGTTGAATTTAATTTATGCCATAGGGCATATTTAACAAATAATAATATTAATATGGATCGATTGTGGCATGCACGTTTAGGGCATATGAGTGAAGGGAAACTAAAGGAAATTATACGAGATAAAATGTTTGAAGATATTGATCTATTAAAATCGATTAAATTTGATTATGACATTTGTAAAGCTTGTGTTAAAGGAAAACAAGCCAGATTGCCATTTCCCAAATTTAAAAGTAAAGATTATATTGATAGAGCTTTATTTGTTATTCACTCAGATGTTTTTGGCCCTATTACACCCCCTACAATTGATGGTAGAAATTATTCTGTAATTTTTGTGGACCAATATACTCACTATTGCGTGACCTATTTAATAACTCAAAAGTCTGAAGTATTCGATTGTTTTAAAGATTTCGTAGCAAAATCTGAAGCTCATTTCAATTTAAAGGTTGTGAACTTATATATAGATAATGGAAGGGAGTATTTGTCAAATGAAATGAAAAACTATTGTGTTGAGAAAGGTATTACTTATCATTTGACAATCCCACATCCCACATCCCACGTTACAAGGTAGTAGGGCATACTTCGAGGCTTAGCATTAGAAAATACACCCGTTTTATCTTTTACAAATTAATTTTATTGGTCAGTTCTACTGCATCGACTTGTCATCGGCATTATCGGCATCTCCTTTTCTTCCTACCACGCATACACACAAACATTCTTCTGATGTGTTTTTTTTTGCATGTAATTAGGAAGAACGGCTATCGATTGCGTCAGCCGATATTTACAGTAACTTCCCTGCAGTTCTGGCTGTCACGGCATGAAAGTGTCATAGGAAAAATTGTTCGAGCTCGACGTCGACAAAGGCAGCGACGTCGACGTCAGCATGAAATTCTGACCAGCTTCAACTGCTGTAGATCGACCCTAACTCTTCCACTCTCACGCATTTCGTCTCCTCAAAGGGATGAGGGGAGAAAAACCGATTATTTGGTGCAATCTTTAGTTGCGAGCGGCTGTGATTTTTTTGAGTTGAGCGTCTATTTATATGTTTATTCCTTTTAAAAGTGGTTTTTTAGTGTTTTTAAAGTCAGGTAAGTGGATTCAGTGATTACAGTGCGCGTTGTTAGTTAAATTAAAGTTGTACATGGGTTTCGCAAGAACAAATATGTTTAGATTCTAGAACATTCAAGCGGTGTGGTCCCGTTAACCATGTGCAACACTGCGCGTGTTTGTTTTTGCTCGAGGAAACCCATGTAACTGCAAATACAGCATTTTTAATTACAAGATATATATGTTCAAATTGACTTATTTATTTACAGATCAAAACATTTCTGAAGTCAAAATCAAAATATTAGTCCAGGAGTAATTGTTTAAAATGCCTCAAAGGTAAAATCAAATTTCATATGTGTATTGCTTTATGCAAATCTGAACATAACTCAGAAGTTAGTTCAAAAAATATTACCTTCCGTGGCTAAATATTTTTATTTTTTATATCATTTCAGGAGCATTGGTGCTTATTAACCTGATCGAGTCAGTTAAGGAAGGCCCTACAGATAATTAAAAACGAGAAGGAACGTGCGAGTCGCTTCTGGGGACGCGACTCTACTTATACCCGTACTCAGTCAGCATAAACATTTTTAAGCATATGATTTTTTAGAATTTTAGAATTAAAAAAAAAATTTGACATTTAACATTTTTTTGCTACATCTGCTATCTACATCTACAATGTCTATTCTACATCTAACATGTAGATTGTACATGTTCCATTTAGATTCTACATCTCCTCCGCTAGGGGTTGCTCGCGCACTGAACGCGGCAGAGTGTGCGAGCGAGAAGGAAAATGAGTTGCTAGATTGCGTCAGGTGGGGGAAGGGGAAGCAACTGAAAATTAATTTCTTCATTCTGGCTATAATTATGATCCGATCTGATTCAGATTCGGCAGTCTGGTAGATATGGGCATTCTCCACGATAATGCGTTTTTAGTTTTATCGTATCCTTAAAAATGTGCCTGCCACAGATTTTCGTCTTTTGTGGAGGCGGAAGGGGGCGGAGCGAAATTTTGAAATACACTTGTAGCAGTGGGATATCACATGAGTCTGGAAACCAAATTTGGTTGCCCTAGCTCTTATAGTCTCTGAGATCTAGGCGCTCATCGAGACAGACAGACAGACAGACAGACATGGCTATATCGACTCGGCTATTGATGCTGATCAAGAATATATATACTTTATGGGGTCGGAAACGTTTCCTTCTCTGCGTTATACACATCCACTTTTACCACAAATCTAATATACCCCTTAACTCTTTTTTGAGTACGGGTATAATAATTAAATCAATGAAAAATCTAGAAAATCTGTGTAAAATAAATATATTTACTTTTATTTGAATGAAGTGTTTAAAGATATTTTTGGGTGGCTTTCACTTATGAAATTATCCGTGAAATTCCGTTAAATTTAATGAGAAGTCTCACAGGTGATTTCATATAGGACATTTCAAAAGAGTCACGAGTGATTTCATATGGGATATTTCGAATGAGTTACGAGTAATTTCATTAAGGGCATTTTCGGAAGTTTCCCGAGTGAAATCACTCGTGGCTTACACGTATAAGCCACCGGTGAAATCACTAGAAAATTCAGTGACAATTTCATATGAAGTTTCACGAGTGACAAAAGCGGACATGTCCATACAAATTTCATCTGGAGTTTCACCAGTGATTCACCAGTGGCAGAGAACATGCCATGAGTGATTCACCGAATGAATCACGAGTGAAAAGTGACTTTTGGAACTGCAGGGATTAGAATAGTTGTTAATGTGTGTTTGTGTGTGTGGGATTTGGTATGCATACGGTACATAAACCGTTTACAAATTTGTCGTCGCAACTACGTTTCCTACGTCGAGCAAATGAGGGTCTAAAGACACGTCGACAGCCTCTGTTGATTGCAGTTGTAGAGAATGAGTGAACAGGCAGTGATGGTACTGTTTCTGATACTGATTTTATTCAACAAAGTTAAATTCTATTTATAGGTAACAAAAGGTACAGAAAGTGCTGAGTCTAGTAAGAATATGGTAAAAGGGAATTGGAATTAATATTGAATTGATTTGGATTTAATATGATATTGTGTTATTGGGCAATTGTGATAGTCAGCAATTGAACCAGTGTTTTTGCCCTCTGAAGAGCGATCGCATCGTTGGCAGAAATTGCTGCAGAAGCGGTTATTGTTGACTCAGCTACAATGCTTTCTCATTTACTATTATGTCTCCCGTTACATGGGTCGACCTGACTTATTCGATAAGTGTAATATTAATTAATGCATAAATATGCGACTGAACATTCTCCCGGCCTGGTGTTCAACCATCGCCCAAGTCGACTGAAAAGCGGCGAGGAATGGGGATCGGGGGTGATGATCCGCGTGGCTCTGCTTGGTTGATTGTTGACGGCCTTGGGTTCCATGATTGATACTTCTTCCGGAGAATGAACGCAATAATCAATAGCATTGATATTGCTAGGGCAGCATAAGTAGCGATTTGATGATGCTGCACTGCACCCACTAATTGCAGTCGTAAATCTTCCAATTCTTGAAGATAGTCTGATGTCTGGTTCTCCAATTGTACAGTTGCTGGCGAAGGGGGTGTTGTTGGTAAGCGTATGTCCCCAAATCGAGTGTAGGTTGATTTGACTTCACTGATTGTTGTGCTGAAGGTACTGATGCTTATTTCTGTATTGCGAGCAGTGCATCCAGGTGACAATGAGAGCAAGCCAGTTCCTTCCAGTTGTATGGTTGACGGAGACCCGTTGCAAACTGCCTGAAGTCTCATTGTAGAGTGTGTTGCAAAAATCCATTTATTTGCTTGCTGAGTTTTGGACCACACCATGTCCGCCTTCGTGTCGGTCACTTCACATAAAGGTGCTGTTTTATTGTTAAACAACTGAAACTCACAGCGATTGTCGACATTGAAGACTGTTTGATGATCAAAGCAGATGTATTCTGCGTTGCGTAATTTAAAGCAGCGTCGAAATTCTTCTGGAGTAAATCCTCTCGGTGAGTGTTTACAGTGATTATGGTCGTTTTGAGATTGAACAAGCTCCAACTTGTTGAGTCCCAGACCGGAATCGGCATGATACTGAAAACTTTGAGCTGAAATGTTGAAACTAACGGTAGTGTCACCTTGAAAATGACGTGTGTGGTAGTCAGTGTTCCTTCGGCTCGCATTAGCCTGTATAATTGTATCACATTTTGTGTTGTGACAGGCAACATTTGATCAACTGGCAAGTGATCCCGGATTTGGTCTAGTTGCTCTCTTAATTGCTCAGGAGATACTAGCGTTGGGCTAATTGTCCGATGGTGAATGCCGATTAATACATCAGATATGTCAGACTGCATACGTTGAAGACTCGTTGTCAGCAGAGTTAGTTGTGCTGTGAGCCCTAGGTATGACTGAATTAGATGATCGCCATGATATGTTCCTCTTTCTCGGCTGATGGTTGCCACTTGTTGTTTCAATACCTTTAGGCGGTTGTCCATGGCTGACTTATCCTTCCTGATCACGTTCATTGTGGAGTCGACAATTGACGTTTGATTTCGTTGGTTTGTACCTTTTCGATTACTTTGGCCATTTTCTCAGCATATGTAGAGTCAAGTACACCGAACAGCTGGTGTGCTACGTTTCCTACTATATCCAGCGGTGATCTGCGTTGTCGAGAGGCCTTCATTAGCATATTTCCTGTTTGTAGTTCTTTGTACAAATGTTGAAAGTGTTGAAATATGGAGTTGCACGCTGGAACATTTTTTAGTTCAGGGCACATGTGTCTTAGTTCGGACATTCCGGCTGACATGACTTGCATATCCTTCCAATATGGATCCAAGTCGTAGTATACAATCATGGTCCATTCGGAAGTGGTCATTCTTGAGGTTCCAAGTTTCTCATAGAATATTCCAGGCTTGTTTGCAAATTGCGTCACATTTATTGATTGTGAAAATGCTAATGGCAGCATGAGAAGTAACACTACCAATGTGGATGTTAGTATAGGTAATGATAACCTTTTTCGCTGTGTTGGTGGCTCCTCTATTTCCGCAATGTCTTGAATAGCATTTTTGGAGCGTTTTGTTGCTACCTCCTCTGAGAATAATGGGGCGAGACGACTGATGGGCGTTTGTATACGCCGGACGATGTTTTGACATCAACCACTCGTACATGGTTGTCTTGCCCAGGATAAGTTTTGATGATGCGACCCATTGGCCACTTCATTACTGGAAGGTTGTCTTCCTTCACCAAAACTAATAATCCTTCGGTCACGTTTGGAGCGATGGTTTTCCATTTATGCCGAGTTTGTAGTTCGTGGAGGTATTCCGTAGACCATTGTTTCCAAAATGCATGTTTTAAGCGTGAAACCAATTCCCAGCGTTTAACCAGAGTTTTCTCTTGACGATCAGTGTTGACGTCAGGTGCTGCGGTCAAAGGTTCACCGATCAGGAAATGCCCTGGAGTAAGTGCATTTGTCTCCGTTGGATCATTTGACATTGGAGTTATGGGTCGGGAGTTGAGAATTGTTTCAATTTCGATTATGACTGTGTTCAGCTCCTCGAACGTCAAGGATGCTGCTTCTGTGGTTGTAATTAGCTGATTTTACCGATGTGGCCCGAGGAGGAATGAATTTAAAATCCCCTTTTTATACCCGTACTCAAAAAAGAGTTAAGGGGTATATTAGATTTGTGGTAAAAGTGGATGTGTGCAACGCAGAGAAGGAAACGTTTCCGACCCCATAAAGTATATATATTCTTGATCAGCATCAATAGCCGAGTCTATATAGCCATGTCCGTCTGTCCGTCCGTCTGTCCGTCTATCCGTCTTGATGAGCGCCTGGATCTCAGAGACTATAAGAGCTAGAGAAACCAAATTTGGTTTCCAGAGTCATGTGATATCACACTGCTACAAGTGTATTTCAAAATTTCGCCCCGCCCCCTTCCGCCCACACAAAGGACGAAAATCTGTGGCAGGCACAGTTTTATAGATACGATAAAACTAAAAACGCAGTATCGTAGAGAATGCCCATATCTACCAGATTGCCGAATCTGAATTAGATCGGATCATAATTATAGCCAGAATGAAGAAATTAATTTTCAGTTGCTTCCCCTCCCCCTCCCGACGACGACAACGCAACTCATTTTCCTTCTCGCTCGCACACTCTGCCGCGTTCAGTGCGCGAGCAACCCCTAGCGGAGGAGATGTAGAATATGAATGGAACATGTACAATCTACATGTTAGATGTAGAATAGACATTGTATATGTAGATGTAGATAGCAGATGTAGCAAAAAAATGTAAAATGTAAAATTTTTTTTTTTCTAAAATTCTAAAAAATCATAAGCTCAAAAATGTATATACTGACTGAGTACGGGTATAAGTAGAGTCGCGTCCCCAGAAGCGACTCACACGTTCCTTCTCGTTTTTGTTGCAATGATTTGTGATCAGAGCATGTGCCTTTTCGATAAATATTGCTTCTTTCAATTCCTTTAGCTTGTTATTTGCGCCGACGAAATTTG